GGTTTCCTGGGGCTGATGCCAACAAATTATGGAAAGAAAGCCTGTGCCGTGTAGGATGAAACCCAGGTCCTCATTGAACAATATTAGGAATCCATGCAGATTACCAATAGTACATAGTTCTTTGGACACTTTAATTTACACCCCTTTTCCCTTTTTGACTTAAGCACACATTTGTATAATTCTCCCCCCGCCTCCAAACTGTGTTGGTTTTTGCTCTTTGTATCCCAACATTGGCTCATGGTTCGCGCAAATTCTCAGAGACACCCTGCTAAGCCTCACAAATGTGCGGATGCGCAGGTCAGAGTGTGTTCCTTCTCGCTGCAAGTCTTGGGAGGTGCGACAACATGGTTTTCATTCAGGCTGTCGAATACAAGGAAACGCTTCTGCCTCCTGACCCGGACGGTGGGGAAGTTTTGCCACAGGTTCAAGAGAAATATAAATCCTGCACCCCATCTATTATTGGATGTGAGTTCCAGGATAGCACGCTTTGCTGAGCCCTCTGAGTTTCAGTTGTATTTATAGCACCGAGACACTCCTAACAGATGGTTTTAGAAGCACTGTCGTTTTAGCAGTTTCCCGCTTTAACACCACAGGTCTATCCTTTTCTTTTTCTTTTTTGCACCTTTTGTATTTCTGTGTGCGTACGTTTTCAGCATTTTGGTTCCTGATATTTGAAAAAAAGAATCCAAGCAGATAAGTTTCCCGCGTGCTGTATCATGTCAGGTTCAAATTTACCTTTCTTGCAGGTTTTAAATGTAACTTTCTTGTCCTTGAGGGCCACATGGAGCATATTTGTTTGATGAGTTTCCTTTGTATGCCCCTCCCTGTCCGATTTCCCCCTCCCCTCTGATTCCTCACAACGGCCCTGTGAGGTAGGTCACAGAGAGAGCGAATGAGGTCTGCTGTGAAGTTCAGCTTCCTTTGTTCCTGCATCCTTGGAAGCAAACCACAGAAACAGGCCGGGATGCAAGGTGGTGGGTTTTGGGGAGAATGGGCTTTGGATTTCCTGTTAGATCTTTCTGCTAGACAGCACCTGTAAAAGACCAGAGTTGAGGAGAAAGGTCGGAGCGGATTTAGCAGCACCACACACATTTGGTGCATCTTGCTTTGGGGGGTTTGCCCCTGCCCCGTGCCCCACCCATTCTCAGGTGTCCTTAGAGAGACCAACTGTTTAAAGGACTACACCTCCCAGTCTTGGGAAGTGTTCCTAGTATTAAGAGAGCCAAAACACTCCACAGGGGCAGACTCAGAGCTTTACCGATCCCATCTTCCTAGATTTTTGTGTTATTGGCAATCCTGTCTAAAACTTTGCCCACTTTTAGAGTCGGCATAAATGTATAATACAGTATAGAATTCTTATTAAACCAAATCCCCCCCAAATGCCCAGATTCTAATTATACACCAGCTGGAAAGTTCAGTTTAACATGTGAAAACACAGCCAACATAGCCGTCCTCTCACCTCATCGGCGTCTTGGGAAGTGTTTGTGTGTGTGTGTGTGTAATATTTCTAAACTCCTTCCCAGAAATAAATAAATAAATAACCCGACAGGCATGTGCCACGTGGAGGATTAAGGCAACTTCAACCAAGACGATCTCTGTAGAAATTAATTTTCAAGCTCCTGCAGGAAAGCATGCGCACCAGGGCGGGAGGGTGCCTCGCCGTGCGCGCCAAAATAAGCTTGGCTACGTTTTCTGCTTCTTGGCACTTGCAGGGTTTTTTCAGCTGGTTGGTTTGCCAGCCTGGACTGGGGGGGGGAGGGAAGGAGAGCGGGAAAAGGCTGGGGTGCCCTGGTAGCTTGGTTTTGGGAATATGTGCAGAGCCCGTTCTCTCAAAAGGCAAAGGCAGATATCTGCTTCAGGCGGAACAGACCGGGGGGGGGGGGGCGGTGGCCATGGTTGGCCCTCGGCTCTTCTGCCTCAGCCCGGTGGCCTTTCTTCTCACTTGGAGGGCAGAGCCGTACCCTGCTGGGCCCTTCCCACCCACTTTTGTGCCTGGACTGGTGAGGCAGCAGTTTCCTCTTTTGCCTCAGGCAGCAAAATGTTGTGGGTCAGCCTTGGGTATTGGGAAGAGAGATGTGAGGAGAGCTTGGCTTACTACTACTACTACTACATTTTTTTAATTAAAGCATGTTTGCTTCCTCCATGAGGTTTTGGAACTTCCTTTCTTTTTATATTTCCCTTGCCTTTACTAGTCAGTATCTTCTCTGTTCATCCCAAAACTTTTGGTTGGTCTTCCCCCCCCCAACAAAGGTTGAAAACGGAGCTGTGCTCCCCCCCCTTTTTTTTTGGTCTTCTCCCTCCCTCCCTGTTTCACCACTGGCACCTTCTCTCCTTGACTAAGTGATCCTCCGTCCATAAATAACACTGGGACCGGTTTCATGGCCATCCATGGCAAAAACCTGCGTCTCCCTTCGGCTCCCGCTTGGTGGCTATTTATAAAAACTGGCACATTGCCCCCCCCTCCCAAGCGCCGGCCACCTCCCCGTTTTCTCAGGGCAATGGAAGCCCACATTGACTTCCTTTGCCTCAGGTTTCTTGCCCCCAAGCTTCTTGCCCTGCCTCCCCCAATTCTGCTGGCCTTTTGGCTGTCTTCATTTCACAACTGCCTTGCAATGTAGGAAAAAAAATTATTTTTAAATAAATAAATAAAATAAAAGGATTTGATGGAGGGAAAAGGAGGCAGGTAGCAGGTAAAAGAGACAGAACACCCTTTATTTCCCACCGCCTGTGTGAGTAACATCTGGGGCTTTGGCACCAAAACAGTACCACTGCTAGTGCTACTACCGTTCCCTGACATCCCACAGGATTTGGGGCTGCGTCAGGGAAGTGTTGAAAAGGCGAGAGCAGATTCCCAGAGAAGAACCCGGCCTGCGTCACCCACCCGCTGGGCTCCCAGGCTCTGTTACATGGACGCCCATCTCCTGCCCGCTGGGGAAGTGGAGCGCAGGGTGGATCATGGGCACCAGGGGTCTGGAGCCTCTCAGAAAAGGAGGAAGGCTCCAAGAGGGGCCAGGATCATAGAACGGTAGAGTCAGAAGAGGGGATCTCAGAGGCCGTGAGGGTTGGAGCTGATGGGAATCGTAGTCCAAAATGCCTGGGCCATCCCCCAAGCTCAAGCAGACACTCCTTGGAAAAAGCCCAAAGAAATAGTGTTCGCTTCCTCCTTCCTGGTGTCTCTTGACTACAAGGCCTGTCGTCCCTGACGCTCGGCCCCAGAGGCGTGAGTGGACAGGAGCTGTAATCCGGATGCCTGGAGGACTCCAAGGGATGAACAGCTGAATTATTTTACTGCCATGAAAAAGAACATTAAAATCCCATCAGAGTCCACCAGAAACCATCAATCTTGGAATGATAACCTCCTTGTCTCCCCATTACAAAAATAACCATCCCATTCTGAGCAGCTCTGAGGCCCATTTGCGGAATCAGAATATCCCGATCATTTATCTCCGGCTATTTCCTCTTCTCAGCCCGGCAGGTTTTGTGATGTATATTTGGGGAGAAAGGAGACAGTTTGGCTGAGAGGCGCCCTGTAAAAGCTGCATCAACTCTTCCCCCACAAGCAGTAGGACATCATCATCATAACCCTTGGATGGCCATATACAAATCCTCAGGGTTGTTATTTCAGACCTGTGCTTAAGAAACACTGTCTGACAGGAAGGGAGGGTAAAGGAGGGGGGCTTCCTCTTCCCCCTCCCCCCCCAAATCCCAACTTTATTTATTATTTTAATCTGCACGGCTGTTTTGTTTTGATGCTAAGAGACCACAGTGCAGCTTTGCTCCTGTCCACCCTAGCGGCTCCCAGAAAAACTCCTGCAGACATTTTCAAATTACAATTTAATTCCTGTTTTTTTTTTTCCAAAGGTGTGTTTGGTTGGGCTGTTTCCTTTGAGAGAAGAGAGGAGATTTAAAAAACCCACTCCCAAATTAAAAGTGGGAGAGACCCCGCCAGAGACCTGGTTTCCCCTCCACTGTGCTGTTGGGATCCTTGCCATTCTGATTTCTTCGGGTGACCTTTGGGCCTTTGTCCCGAGGTCCCCTCCGGCCCTCCCAACCCTTCAGGAAACCTTCGCTCCATCTGATCCCCTGCAAGAGGATTTCCACGGTAATCCTACCGCTGACACCAGTTGTTGTAGGCTGGTTCTTGGCTTGCGTAGAGGAACAGGCGAGGTGGAGGGAGGGAGGCAGGCAGGCAGGGCGCGGTGGGGAAGAGAGGGGGTTTTTTTACACACACTGTTTACTCACTCAATGAGCGGAATGAAGTGGCGACATGCCTGGGTATTTATAGCGCTGCCTGGGTGCCCTTCTGCTGCTGCTATCAATGAACTTTTTAGGTCTTTCTTAGGGTGATCGGGCAGATGATCAGGAGTTCTGGCGTGGCCAAGACTGCATGCCCCCAAAGGTGGATGTGAGAACAAACCACAGCTGTACTCCATTCTCCACTATGGTAATGCACTTGAAGCCTTGTACTGAGGTTATCTGAACATACACAGAGTGCTTCGATTGGCTTGCCTGACTGCTCTGCAATTACAGTGGAAGCCGGATGAGGACATGGGCACCTAACTTTTGAAGCTACCTTGCAGTTGTCTAGGCAGACCCTGATCCTGCAATAAACACTCCAAAGCCACTTAGAAAAATGAAATACGATATTTTTTCAAAACCGAAAAGCAACAAATGGATCTGGAAACATTAAAAATATTAATAAATCAGAGAATTTCAAGCTACCTAAAGAGGGGCCGAATCTCCCTTTAACTCTAGAATGCTGGACAAAATAGAGGTGTCCTTGTTAGTTAGGGCACAGGAGACAGAAAAGGAAGCAATTCCGTTACAATAAATGCGACTCTGGGTTTTGCTGCTCACAGGAAGGCAGTTTGACTCTCTTGAAAGAAGTGGCGTCGGTCTCTAGGAAATCAGAAAGGAATCATTATTTTGTCGTTGTTTTGCACAACTCAGTGCGGGTGCTGCTTTAAAAATAAATCCTCCCCTTTCTGTATCTTTTCCAGGGCCCACCGAAGAAGCCATGTGTCGCTCTTAGGGTCTGCCTCCTTCAGCGCTGCTCTCCTCCCGGCCACGTCCTGAGAATGCGCTGCTCTTTCGTCCCACCTGCTTTTCTTCTCTTTCTGGCATCCACGGCATCCTTCCCGAAGGACTTGAGTCCCCTCAGCACAGTTGGGGTGCCAGGTGAGTCTCTCTTTTCAAGGGTCCTCCCCTGGGAAAAAAAATGGGCTTGCTAAGATAAATATAAGGATTCAGGGATGTTTGGGGTATGAGGAGATGGGATGTGTGTCTAAAAGGGTGGCTGGTGAGTAAAAAATGAAAGAGCGACACCCCTCCACTGTCTCTCGTAATACAGTATTAGCACCCAGGGGTCATCCACTGAAGTAGAATAATAGGAGATTGGGCTATGGTTCAATGGTGGAACTCATTGCTACAGGATGTTGCGATGACGGCCACCTTGGACAACTATACAAAGGGACTGGATCAATTCACTGCAGTTAAGGCCATCAATGGCTACCAGTCACAAGATCTCTACATCACCTCAAGGTTTTTTTATGCACAGTTCTAATTTTTCTAGAAAGAATGCAAGGCAGGGATTCAACAGGTGTTGCTTCTCCCTCCCTTCTTTGGAGTAATGAGAAAGGGGGAAAGCTCCACCCCCAAGTGCCCCTCTTCAGCAAAGAGGAGGTTTCTCACGTGTTGTCCCTCCAAACCAGGAACAGCCCGGTATCCATATTTCCGAGGCCTTGCAGGCGACAATGACACGGCACAGCTCGGCCCGGATTTCCAGAGCATGTTGCGACTCAACCAGACCCTTCTCATTGCTGGCCGGTAAGTAGCAGGTGGGGGTAAATGGTGGCTGTTCTCTGTGGGGCCCATCCTGATGATCTTTGAGGTCTCCCATGAGTCATCATTCTAGTTCTCATTTCATGAGCAAAAGACTGCAGAGATGACTCCTCTTGCTCCCTACATTATCCGCACAACAACACTGTGGGGTAGGTCGGGCTGTGAAAGACAGAAACTAGTCGTGCACTAAGTCCACAATCAGTGGGGACTAGAATCTTGATTTCCCAGATCCCAGCCCAGCACTCCAGCTGCTGTGTGACACTGGCTCCCCTTCCTCTTTATCCTCACAACATCCTTGTGGTGGAGATCAAGCTGCTAGGTTTGGACATCCAGTCAGTTTCATAGCAACGTAGCCTCTAGGAACGCCATGCATTTCTCATCTTCCTGGAGATTGGAACCCATATATGGTTGCATCTCAGGTATAAAAGGCTTCTATTCCTTTTCTCCAAGAGTTCCCAGAAGTTTCTCTCCCCCCCCTTTTTTTTTCTTTTTTGGATGACAGCTCCCAGGGTCCCCTAAGCCAGCACGATCACCAGGAATTGTATCCCAGGAAAACGAATATTCACAGCTGTGCTTCTCTCCCTGATGATGACCATTGATTGTGCCTTTATTTATTTCATTCTTCCTTCCATTCCTCCCACCCTTGGCCACCAGTGACCATGTCTATGCCTTTGATCTCCGAAGGACAAAGGACAACTTCTCTCCATCCCGGGTAAGGGGAGACATTCCCAGGTTTCCACAATATGAATGAACTGTATTGCCCTGCCTACATATTTCGGTTTCAACCCTCCCTCCCTCCCTCCTGTCCTTATAAGATGGTTTTATGTAATGCCAGGAACCTGCTCCTTGTTGAGTTACTTAGAAACCAGCATATGTTCCACAAGTTTTCTAGAACACATTCCCATTGGGATTGTGTGTCAGATGCCTAGAACCCCCTCTGACTGAAACAGTATGCTGCCTCAAGGCCCTTTCTAGTAAAACTTCCTGCTTCCCAAAACTGATCCATCTCTTGCTGGTTCCACTTGTGGATGTATGTGCTGCAGCATCTACGATGCAGTTTCCCCCCACTATCGATGGTCTTGACCTGATTTGCCTTCTACCCATTTCTCAGCATTTCACATGGAAGACTCAGGACATGGAGAACTGCGCGATGAGAGGAAAACTGCGGGTAAGAGCCACGAGCTTTCAGTTTCCACCGTCTGTTAATGCGGCTGAATCTTGGTGCCCAGTTTCACTGTGAGAATGGCATATATTAGGTGGTCGTTTCAGCTGAGAATTTTAACACAAGGATGGAGAAAACATTTTCACACTAGGACTAGACTCACGTTTAGGATTATGATCCAGTTTTGGGTGGAATGAAAAGAGCAAAGGTTTGCAGTCGAAAATAGGACCATGGTAGATTAAAGCTCCCTCTGCCAGCAAGCCAAGCCTTAGAAGAAGCAAGTCAGCCTTTCAGGATGGAGGCCTCGAAGCAGCTCCAACGCTTGGGGGAAACCTGGGACCTCAACAGGGCTGGACTTGGCATCAGGGCCAGAGGTCCCCGACCCCGTGATTTAAGATCTGCTTTTTTGGCTCTCTCCATCTGCAGAACGAATGCTACAACTACATCAAAGTCTTGGTTCCCAAAAACAGCCAAAGCCTCTTGGCCTGTGGCACAAATGCCTTCAACCCTGTTTGTCGGACCTACAAGGTAGGAAGGGAAGGATGCCTGCCAGTCATGAGGAGGCTCCCACAGGCACTCCCTGTGCCAGGCCAGCTTTGGCTCACCTGTGTGTGGGAACCCCGTGGGCTCTTGTGCGTGGGAGGTGGGGGGTCCTCCTTCATTTTGGAGGCGGGGCCTGTGGCACTGGCTAACTCCTCCCTTTTTTCTTGACCCATACATAGATCAGCACCTTGCAGCAAGAAGGGGAAGAGCTGAATGGACAAGCCCGGTGCCCTTTTGATGCAAAGCAAGCCAATGTGGCTCTTTTCACAGGTACGTCTGAGAAAGCTCATTCTTGTCCATCCTTGAGGCTTGTTTTTTTTTTCTTTTTGAACTAATGTGTGGGTGAAAAGCTCTGAAGGGTCCCAGAGCCTCACTCACCTTGCTTCCCAAACATGCGCAGATTGCTGGGCGCTACACCCACCCCTTTCAACAGATCAGGCTCCTTCTCCTTTTCCAAAAAAGTGCATTTAATGGGAAAATAAGAGAAAAGCATTTGATAAGAAGATCACAACCCTGGAGAGACTACATAGTCCTTGTTCTCAGCTGCAGCATCTGGGGCATCACACTCTCTCATAAATTTGCAAGTGGGGAAATCTGTCTTAGTTCCTCTTTTAAAGTCAAGATACAGTAGTTTTTTAAAAAAAGTTTGTTGTTGTTTAGTCGTTTAGTCATGTCTGACTCTTCGTGACCCCACGGACCAGAGCACGCCAGGCCCTCCTGTCTTCCACTGCCTCCCAGAGTTGGGTCAAATTCATGTTGGTCGCTTCAGTGGGAAGCGGAATGACGAAACCTTCACGAGGGTATGGCCGGCTGGCCAACACAGAAGCCATCTGTCTGGCACTGTGTCATAACTCTAGGGGTTTGGAGACTAATAATGAAGTTAAATGCTAGATTTCTTTTTTTTTTAGTACAGTAGCTCAAATTCAGCCCTGTAGGAATCTCAATTTTTAATTTTGCTTTCTCTTTCTCTCTCCACCACAGATGGGAATCTGTATTCGGCCACGGTGGCTGACTTCCAAGCCAGCGATGCAGTGATTTATCGAAGTTTGGGGGAACGGAGTCCTGTGCTCCGGACAGTCAAATACGACTCCAAGTGGCTGAGAGGTGAGGCTGGGACGGTGGATGTTGGTGAGTCGCCCCTGTATCCAGGGAGCCATTTCGTCCTCGCCACAGAAAGCAAGGAAGGGTCTGTGGGTATCGGTGGGTGTCTTCAAAGGTTTTCTAAAAGCTGCCTCTTTCCTCAGAACCCCACTTCCTACATGCTCTGGAATACGGAGACTACGTCTACTTCTTTTTCCGTGAGATCTCCATGGAATACACCACTCTTGGCCGGGTGAGTGTCACAAGTGGTATCCAGAAGATGCAGCCAAATCGAGCTCTTCTGTGTTGGGTGTGATCAGGGTGGCCCTCTCGTAAAGTGGCTTAATGTTGCCCATTGCAGCAGTGTTCGGAAATCTGCTTTTGTCCCCATGGGGTAGGATGCTAAAGTAGTCTGCCCCTATAATGGAGGGTGTAGGAGACCAGTGTTGCTAATAACTACTGCAGATATAACTCTGTTTCTTCATGGATTTGTCTGATCCTGTTTCTGAAGCCATCTTGGCAAAATGGAAGCAGGCGATGCTTTCCTCTAGATGCTTAATTTGAAATGTAGAGGTATCCTGTTCCTGTACGTGGAGGCTCTTGTTGCTGCAATGATGGCTGAGGAGGTCCGTCTTCTGCATCATCTAAGAAGGGATTGACTTTTGAAATTACTTCTGTCTTGCCCCGCTCTCAGGTTATATTCTCACGTGTGGGAAGGGTCTGTAAAAACGACATGGGAGGCTCTCCTCGAGTGCTGGAGAAATACTGGACGTCCTTTCTGAAAGCCCGGCTCAACTGCTCTGTGCCTGGGGATTCCTTCTTCTACTTTGATGTCCTCCAGGCCGTCACGGATGTCACACTGGTGAACGGAAGGCCAGCCATTTTTGGAGTGTTCACCACCCAGTCGAACAGGTAACCACCATAAAGCATTTTTCCCTCCCAAACTTTGGAGAATCTGACTTGTGAGACTGGAAAAGACTTGTGAAGCTTCAGCATGGTCCTTTTAAAATAAGGCTTGCCAGACCTGAGTTGCTGCCTCCCAGAAAACTCATGTGTATGCAAACCTTGCAGAACCTGAGGTCCTAGTTTGCAGGAGAGGAAATCAAGTTCAGCAACCATGTTTAAAATAACCTTTGCAGAACCTGAGCTGCTAGTAGGTACAGACCTAATCCCTTTGATTTTACTGACTTTTTTATCTACCTTGTTTTTTGTTTGTTCACTTTTTTAAAAAAAAATTGTCTGCTTTTTGTCCCCGTCCCCCCCCCCCCAGGCTCAGCTGTCTGTGCCTTCTATATGGACGAAGTGGAGAGAGTGTTCAGTGGGAAATTCAAGGAACAGAAGAATGCAGACGCCGCGTGGACCCCCATCCCCGAGGAGAAGGTACCCAAACCCAGGTAAGATTTCATTCCTATAAAACATGGATCAGATCTCTTTGCCGGCATTTGCATGATCTGTCTACCCCTTTGGAAGAGGGAATGATCTATGGTTGGTCACCACTGACGTTCAGAATTAACGTGGTTATTTCTGCTTTTTTGCATCTATATGTGTGACTGAGATTCTGTGCATGTGCTCAGCTCACTTTTTGCTGAGAGGAGCTGACTGCCTAAGACTGACTGCGTGCATTCAAAAACAAAGTTAAGTTTCTAGTCCTTAAGCCTAAAGAAACTTATTTAAATGTCAGTTTTTGGGGAAGAATTCTTTGTTTCTAACTTTCCGGCCCTTATAACTTATGAACGTAGGCTGAAAGCCAGCAAGGCAAAGCCTGTGGAAAATTTAAAATCCAGCGTGGCTGCTGGATGAAGTGAAAGCTGATGGCAGCCTGCATGAAGCTGCCACCAGAAATTTTTTCAGACCTGAAGGAGAACCAGGAAAACAGTTTTTCAGTCGTTTCTTCTTGTGGAGTAAACAGAGGAACCTGGAGCCAGCTCCTTCTGCTGGGGCTGGATCCTTTACCTGCTGCGTGGAAGATGGACACGGCAGGGCAGGGAGCGCTTGATTTTATTTTTCAGCTCAGGTTGCCACGTGCGACAGCGTTGTCGCCTCCTATCTTATTCATGTGGCTGCTGCAGAAAGCATGAATGTTGAATGGCGCAACAAGCCACAGCTGTTCTTCACCAACCGCCCCCGTGTTTTTCTTAAAATACGGCTTTGCACATTCATAAGCAGTGTTGTTCATTTTCTGGACAAAATGGAAGATCTATCTGTCTGTCTATATATTTGAAAAATCAGTAAAATGTTGGATACTGTGTGTTCAGATTGCCGGCCCCCCCATACCAGATGCCTCTTCCAACTAGCCAGGAGGCGGCAGAGTTTACTCTGCCAAACTTGGAGTAATCTCTGTAGGTTATCTGAGACACCTGTTTAGTGCTTGTCTCTCTGTCTGCCTGCCTGTCTATTGATCTAGGTATCAATTTATCAATCTGTTTTCTTTTCATTTCGCAGAGTCTGTCTACTTCCTCCAAGAGCAGCTGCTTTTGAGTGGCTTGGGGGTGTGTGTCCCACAACTTTTTAATAGATATATAAATATATATATATATTTCTGCCCAGGTCGTATTTTTGCCCCTGGCACCTGTGCTGTGCTGCACCCGTTCTGGAAATGCCCCCCAAATGCCCAAGTGATAGGGGAAAAAAGAAACTGCCGAGAGAGAGAGAGAGAGAGAGAGAGAGAGAGAGAGATCAAAACTAGAAAAGGAAATCTGGGCAGTTTCAGGACGGGTGCCAGGGGCAAAAATATGACCAACGTTGCCTATGCCTAAGTTCCTGAGACTTGGCCGGGAGGAAATAGGATGGCAGACGTGGCCCCATGAATGCTGGTCCTGCCAAAGCCACCCTCTCCTCCACTGGGTCCAAGGACATCAGGGAACATCAGTTCCTAGTCCTCACTGTGGCACAGACGACCGGCTCAGAAACTTCTCTTGTGGGGTGTTCAAAAGTGGGGCTCAAGGTTCAGAAGTTGGCCCTGATGACTTCCTTCTCCCTGGCTCTTCTGATCCAAGAGAATTGCCTTTGCTGTTCCTCTTGCTGTTTAGACCCGGTGGCTGTGCAGGCATCGGCGAAGCGGCTGGTTACAAAACATCCAACGATTTCCCTGATGAGATGCTGGCCTTCATCAAGTCTTTCCCTCTGCTGGATGAAGCCGTACCATCCATCACGGAGCGGCCGTTGTTTACTAAGACGAGCAGCAGGTATTCGTGCTATCAGCAGTTTTCGGAGAAGTTATTTCAGTGTGGTTTTTTCCCAGGGCACCAGCAGAAGTTAACTTCCGAGTTATTACAAGAATCTCTTTAAAATAGGTCCTGCAGAACCAGCAAGGCTAGCTTTTAAGAACATCTTTCCTTTTCCAGGTTTTCTAAAATATACTTCACTGGATCTCCTCTGCTGCCTTGTTCACAGTCCCCTTTTTCAAATAAGCTTTGCAGAACCTGTCCTTCAGGTTTCTTGAGACACATCTGCATGACAGCCGAAACGTGAACAGCCCTTTTTAATTTTTATTTTTTTGCCATGACCTAGACAAGTATACATATAAAAAGTATGCTCTTTTTACACCAAATGGTCAGTCTGCAGATGGAAGGAGTCACATCATATTTATTATTTAATTATTTTAGATTTTTTTTAACCCCAGCATTCTCCTTTAGAAGGACCTGCTTTGCTCCATGAGGCAAATAGGAGATGATTTCATCTATGCATACAGAACAGCACCTTACCATAGTCTCTTGAGACTGAAGGATGCCTAATCCGCACAGCACAGCATCTCTTTAAAGCTTGGGGGATCCTTTTTAAATGGAGATGAATGAGATACGGACCTGGACCTTTCCTAAAATACAAGGTGTGTAGTATCAACATCCCACTTTTCCCTTTCCAACCCCCAACCCCCAGGTATAAGCTGACCCGTCTGGCCGTCGACACGACAGCTGGGCCCTTTCAGAACTACACGGTTCTTTTCCTGGGCTCGGAAGACGGAGCTGTGTTGAAGGTCCTCACCGGAACCACCAGGAACTCCACCGTGGAGGTGGTGTTGCTGGAAGACCTTTCAGTCTACCATCCCTCCCGGTGAGCCCACACTGGTGGTGGGTGGGTGGGGGGAAGAGTGCCTAGTGGGAAAAGGGGTTTTGTTTTTACAAAACAGAACCTGCTACTACAATGGTCAGGGGAGCGGGTGCTAATTTATTGCATTATATTTGGGGAGTATATAAATTTTGACTTGTGCTGTTAAGTTTTTCCGGGGTAAGTGTAAAAAGATATACCAGAAGGTCAAAGTCCCAGTCATGACATCTCGGGCTAGACTGATCAGACACTTACAACTCAACCTGGTGCTAAGGTTTTGGATAAACAGCTCCAGGAGGTTTGGGGAGCTACATCTGGGAAAACCTGCTGACCTTCTTTAACCAAGACAGAAACGGGGATGGGAAAGCAGTATTGTGTTGCAGAGCAGTTAGAAAAGTCTTTCCTTGCACCATTTTTGAACCTGCCACAGCTGACATCTCTTTCCTCTCCCTCCTCAATCTTGCTTTCCTGCAAGTGTTAAATGCATTTGCGGGTGTTGCAATTACAGCTTCATTCCCCATTGGAAGGGGTGCATAGGTCTCTTCCACTTCCTGTCTCCCCAGATGGGCAGTTCTTCTAACAGTTACACCACACACACACACACCCCTCAAAACAATACTGAGTCTCTTGGACGTAGCAGAAACTCAGAGGCATCAGTATCATATCAACGGGTGCTGCTAGGGTTAAAAAGAGAAAGCATGGGAGGGTAATGCTTTTAAATGTAGTTTAACTGGCAATCACATTGTTAGTGGGTTCAGTATATTTTGTTAAAAATACACACAAAACTCTGTATGGGTGTCTTTTTTAAAAGATGCTCACCAGGGCAATTCTACTTTGCTTTTCAAGGAGGTGTAAAGGCTTTGGGTGGTCCAAAACTGACGTGCTGTTTTCTGCTCCCTCTCCAGGTGCAGCATCAAGAAAGAGGATCGACGGGTCCTGGGTTTCCAGCTGGACAAAGCAAACCATGCTTTGTACGTGGCTTTCTCGGGCTGTGTTGTGCGGGTGCCGCTCAGCCGCTGCTCTGCCTACAGCGCCTGCCGGAGGTGAGTGAGCAAAATGGTGCGACTCTGTTTGAGCCGCTCCCGCGTATCTTCTTGGGAAAGTTCAGTCCCTCCCACAGAGGCCGCGGCCTCTGCTTTGTGGTTTCTGCTGGACACTGAATTCCACCTCAAACCTTGTACTCAGGAAGGCAGGAGTTTGCAAACCACATTGAAACTGTGGCAATGAATAGGTGGTTTTAGCAAGTAAAACCTTCCTTAGATCTAGGCGGTGGGAAAGTACTGCTTGTAATTTAATTTTAATGCTTTAAACTTTGTGTGTGTGTACAGGAGCTGTCTGGCTTCCCGCGATCCTTATTGCATTTGGTTGCGTACTGGAGCTTGTGCGGCGTTCAGCAGCGAGTTCAGGTAAACTAAAGGCGGCAGGAATCAGGAAAGCGAAGCTTGGATTGTATTTATTCATAAGGTTGTGGTGTTTATAACCCACCTTTTGTCCAACAGCATGCCGCATTTCAACAATCCTGTGAGGTGTCACAGAGACAGTGACGCTCGTATCTAAGGTCACCGAGTGAGCTCCCTAGCTCAGCAGGGACTCAAATCCTGACACACCCAAGTCTCAGTCCAAAAATGTAACCCCTGGAACACATTGCCACTTGTTTTTGTTCCGGAAGGGCCACGAGCGCCTCTTCCTCCTTTCATCCTTTTGGATGATCTAAAGTGTAGTTGTTCTTCACAGAAATGTGCTTTCAATTTGGTTCCTGCTGGTTATCAAAGTCTTGATGAATGATGACCGACGGCCACGCCACCCTCCGCCACCCGCCCCATGGTTCTCGAACTGTACCTGCAGGGAGGCGGGGAGGGGGAGGAGGAGGAAGCTGATTGAGCAGCTCTTTGAGGGGAGCCCTGGGCGAGACCGTTTCTGTTCTCCCTCTCTTTCTTCTCTTCTGGGTGTTGCCCAGTGGATTAATTAGTGGTGAATTCAATCCACCCAGCAGGGCTTGGCTTAATGAGCTTTCTCTCTTCCCCCCCCATCCCGGTCCCTTTCCTTTCCCCACAGAAGTGGTTTTGAACAAGATGTTGAAAACGCAGCCAAGTACACGGGGAACTGTCAAGGTGAGTGGCCTTTGGGGAGGGTGGGGGGCCCCTCTCTTTTACAGCTCTGGGTTGCTGTTTTACACGGGTCTCAAGGGAAGAGAACAGAGCCAGGGCTGTTTCCCCATCTAGTTATAAAGCTCTTTTTTTTCCTCGCAGAATCGAACGGCCCTTTCCTGCCACCGTCCCCCCCCCTGTACACACCCCACCTTCCCGGCTGGCTGTCACTGACAGAGCAGTGGAAAGCCATTGTGTGGGAAGCTTTTGGCCTGGCTTTTGCCAAAAAGTGATGAGGAAGGTGGTGCAACAGAGACAGGGTGTAATTAGTCATCTGTTTTGCCTTTGGAGGGGCTGGGTCGAAGGCTGAGGGATTTCCCTGTCCTCCCCTGGGAAGTGGGGCGCTCAGTGACATGTCCCCAAAGCATTGCGTCTCACCGGCAAAAGGGCATGCCAGAATACCATACAGTTGCCAAATGGAAATAATGTTCACAATTAAAACAGCATTACCATACACTTTTCAAACGCATTTTCAAGCCCAGCCTTGTTTCGGATCCCTAGTGCCTGCAAGGAGGGTGAGGTTAGCAATTCAGACCTGAGGGGGGATGGTTTGTGGAGCCCCAGGTTGTGGTGGTTTCGCCGCATGAAGGGACCTTGGCCGTGAAAATGCTTCTGACAAAACGAACGGCACTTGGGGATGATCCTTAGGTCCCCTGGCCGTGGAGATGTCCCGATGCAGGGCTTCCCCTTAAGGATCTGCCCTTGCCAATGCAGCTCCCAGGGTCTCTCTGCAAAGTTGCCGTTTCCACCATTTCATGATGTTGTCCCATGAGTCTCCAGTGAATGAAGCGCAAACTCTCCCCCCCCCCATCGTTGCTTCTCCTTTTTGCCTTTGCACCCAAGCTCAGCTTCTGACCCACCCCCCCTTTAGTTTTCTCCAGTGCGCCTCCCATCCCTTCTTTCATCTCCCGCTCTCCTTTCTAGATGTCGTAACGGCTCCTGGAAATCAGGATGGTGCCAGCGATTCTGCCTACGGTTAGTACTGCCTTCCCTTTCTGCTTTTCCTCCTCTGCTCATCCCTTTGATTGCTTATTCCTGTTTGTTCTTCTTTTTAAAATAATGATGGTAGTGACAGTGAGGATAATGATCATTTTCTTGAACGAGAAATTCCCAGAATCCCCCAGGAATCGTGGTCAGAGACCAGGTTAACTGGGGAATTCTGGGAACTGTTCTCAAAAATAGCCATATCCCCACATTTTGGCTCATATGGGGACCATCTGTCCCACTCAATGGTCCAATCTGAATTCCCTCTCTTCAAAGGGGTACCATTTTGGGGGACGTTGCATTGAAAATCCCCTCCAGGTCCCGGGCTGTGGGGAAGGGCAGGGCAATGCTGTCAGAGTGGCACCAAGAATAGGCCTGTTTCCTTCTGGGCTGAGGGTCACAAAGGCCCCTTTCTGCCACAATGAGGGGTGGCAGGGGGGGAAGCAGCCTGTCTGTGCGAGGCCTCAAGTGTTACCACAGCAACTGGCCCTCTGCCCTTTGGGACCAACATGGCGGTGGGCCATGTCCGGCTGTATAAATATTGGTTCAGCTGACAAATGTTCGCTCCCTCTCCCTTCGTGGGGGACAAATAGCTTTTCCCACCCACCCACCCTTTTTAAAAAAAAATGTTGGCAGGGAAGGGAGGAGTGCGATGTAACCCTCCTGGATCGGGCGGGTGTCGGGGTTTGTAGGGGCTTGCAGCTACCATTTGGGCCTCCTGGAAATCCACGTCTAAAATTAATAACACCATGGAAGAGCTAAGGTCCATTAACCGTCATGACATCCTGGTCGCACCCAGCACCATTTTTTCTTCCATCCCACCAACATCCCACTCCTGTCATCATCTGTAGGGTGATGGAGCCTTAACTGGAAGATTTTGTTAATAATGGAACACGCCTGCACTCCCCATGCCGCCTGTCCTTCAGGGAAGAGTGTTCTCCGCCACGGAGATCTATATAGCTATATAAAATTGTGAGTTTTCTTGAAATAGAAGCGATAAGCCCTTTTTAATGTCAAAGTCTAGCATTCTCGTTTGCCCTTCTAGCTTGGGCAGGATCGGATCTTTTCCCCAGCCTGAAGAAAACATATATTTTTTGTTGTTGTGTTATTCCCCCCTTTCGAAGCAGTCCAGAAGGTGGACTAAAACGACAGCAGGGCAGTCTCTGAAAGTGGCCCCAGTGCTGTGATTCAGGAGAGGGAGGTTTTCCCCCGAGCTCACCCCTTCGAGCAACGGGTGGGGATGGAATGGTCTGTTGGATTACAAATCCCAGCATCCCCCAGGCCAGCAAGGTGATTCTGGGAGAAGTAGTCTAAAAGATTCTTGTTTCTAGGCTTGGTGATCCTCACGGGGGCAGAACTGGCTGGCAAAGATCTGTCAGATGGGAGAGCAAGGCTTTTCGGAAAGAGCCAGGCAGGCGATTTGTACCCCCAGGAGGTCCTGCCTGCCTCTCCGCCTCTCCCAAATCCCCCAAAAATCAAATTTCCAACCCCATGTCCCTAAGTGAGAGAGAGGGTGGCGGAGCCAATCAGATGGGGGGAAGAAAATTAAAACTGAAGCAACTCCATGAATTACCCAGCAGGGAAGAAATCTCTTGATTTAATTGTGAGGCTCGGAGAGGGAGTGAAGGGGGGGGGTTAGGTGGGTGGGCAGAAAGCCGGAGAAAGAGAGAACGAGGTTGTCCTGTTCTGTTAGCATTGCCTCGGATGTTTGGAGCCTAAGTCTCCTTGGGAGGCAAGAGCAGCCTTCCCGGATTTTAGCCCGAACTCTTTCTTGGGCCTTACCGCTCTCCTGTTATGGGATTCTTTCAGTTTTGCTGCTTCAGCTCTGTTTTTAAAGTGCTCCAGGGTCAGCTGAGGGTGAGGTGGGGGAGGAGGGTGTATTTTGGAGTCTTTTATAGCCTCCATCCTCTCTCTGCATATTCCATTTTATTTTACTTTTTAATTTTATTTTTGCATCGGCTCGTTGCAGATCTTGGCAGCTTGTCCGGCTGCTTCCTGCACGGAGAGCGCTGCAGAGCCGAGAAAGGGGAAAACGGCTGGAAGGGTCTGAGATTCATAGGGGGGCGGGGCGGGGGGGCAGTTGGCTCAGCGACAGTGTTTTGTGCAGGGCCAGTTGACACGCTGGCATGGGGGGGGAGAGACGATGTGTGTGCTTTGGCCGGCCGATGGAGGAGCTGGCCGTTGCACAATTCGCTCGTGGAGCAGGGCCTTTCTTGGCCTGTGCCCAGCCCCAGAAAGCTGAGGGGGCCCCACGGCGGGCCGTCTGGATTTTGGGTTTTTTGCACAAACGGGGGAAAATCTCACCTTCAGGATATGTGGCGATGGAGCCTTAAGAGGGCCAGGTCAGCGTTTTAGAAGTCCAGAAGAGGTAAACGTAGTGTATCTAGGAAGCACTCTTGCAGGATAAAATAATGAGGGGAAAGGGGGAAGGTCCTGGACGTTGTCGGATGGCAAACTGGCATCCCAGGAAGGCCAGGATTTGGCCCAAAGGCCTGCTTCCCAACCCCTCTTCTCAATGCTGCTCTCTTTTCTTGCCACCTCGGTCGCCCCGTTCCTTTTCTTCCGTTCCCCATTGCTGTTTTCCTGTTGTTCTTGCTGATGTTTTATTTGTCACTGGTAACGCAGGGTTGATGCCGACCACCACGGCCAGCGCCGCTTTCTCCGTCTCCTTTCCGGAGGCGCCCCGGGGGCCTCTCCCCGCTAGCATGGCTCCTGACGCCCACCCGGCCCCTGGCGCTGGGGGGCCCCGCTCCACCCTCCACGTGGCTGTGAGCACCCAGGGTAAGAAGGGTCGGGGTGCTCTCCTGACCCCCCCCTCCACCGCCACCCCACTCCCGTTCCCTGCAGAATGGCATCTGTGGAATAACTGTGGCCTTGTGCGAGAATCACTAACCCCGGGAGCGTGGGCGGGCAGGCGTGGGCGTGACGTGCACCGACTCTAACAAGCAAGCCGGAATGCCAACGCATGCAAATATAGTGGTAGCTGCACCATGACCTTGGGGCGGGCGGGATTTTTTTTTCTAGAGCACTGCTCCCTGTCTGCAGGGTGACCTCTATGAACTTGTTTAGGATGATGCGTGGGTGGGATGTATTTATATTTAAAGCCGGTGACTATGTGCACGTGAGGCAGGGTGAGAGGGAAGTGGCTGTATGGTTGTTGTGGGTTTTCTGGGCTCTTTGGCCGTGTCCTGAAGGTGGTTCTTCCTGACGTTTCACCGACATCTTCAGAGGACAGGAGGAGGAACTCTGTCCATCAAGCGCCTGTAGGGTTTAGATGAGGACGAACGGGGCGGACGCAGGCTTTCAGGAAACAATGACTTCTGGAGGGTAGAGCCTGGAACCAATCTTTGGGAAAGTTACTTTCCTAAACTGCAAGATATCCAAATGGCCAGGGATGTCTCCGAGTTCGCATCTGACCCAATTGGGTCTCTCCTTTTCAGAAAGAGTCGTTTCCACCACCAGCAGCAGAGGTGCTCACCTACTCATGAGGAGGGGCTGCAGCCGACTCCCCTCTCATCTTTTCCTACAAGGGACACCTGATGGTCACCTCCGAGAATGTTTGGCCCTCTGCATGAGGGAGGTGGCTGTCTTAAGCCAAGCCATGGGGCAGGGCTGGCGTGGGGTGTCCTCTTTTTTGGGGGGGGGGAGTCCCTTCGCAACCTCCACTTTCCTGTCTATGAACTGGGAAGAAGAACCTTGCGCTTTTGAAGGACTGCCATGTGTCGGAGAGAGGAGTCCTTAGTCAGCAAAGGCCGGAGGAAGTCTGAGCAAGGCCAAGAGGGAGAGGAAACAGGGAGCGAAAGAACGAACCTCTTGCGAGCAGGAAAAAAAAACCTGAAACACAGCCGAGACAGAGTGCCCTGAGCAGAAATCTCTCTGAAGAGCTGAGTCGTTTGGGAGAATTTGGTATAATAGGTATTGTGCTCACACACACGCACATTGCGTGCTCTACAGTAAAACCAAAAAATGCACATAGAAAGGAGAGGGTTTTTTTTGGGGGGGGAGAGACAGAATAGCTTTTGAAAGTCCCCTGACAGCTTTGAAAACAGAATAGAAGAACTTGCTGTGAGTTTTTGGTGTGTGTGTGTGTGTATGTGTGTGTGCAGGGAGTAACTTCTCCTGGAGAAGGGGGAATAAAATACAAAGAACAACCCTCCCCTCCCAAAAGGAGGAGGAGGAGGAGGAGGTCCCATGTGCAGACAAGATTTTCTGCTTCTACTTAGGAAGGGATAGACCTGCAAGACGGGGGGGGGGGATATCTTCAGTGCGTTTCTGCCAACCAGACCAATGGCTGAATTTGATTTGGAAAGGATTTCTCAGACTGATCTGACACCATGTCGCTCTGCGCATGCTCAGAGGCTTTGTCCAGTTCTGGGGAAGATTGAGACCCTCATCCATTCTCTCATCCCGTCCCTCCCTTTGGGCAGGCCTGGTAGCCAAAGAGCAGGGGTTCAGGCCCCTCCCTGTGCCAGAGGGACTGTGTTTTCATTTTGTTAGGTTTGCGTCCTACCTTTCCACCACGTAACACCCCAAGGCAGAGTAGCCGTTGAACTACAGAGTGAGGACTCAACCCGACAACCAAAAGCAAAGCGTCTGATCTATTAAAGCTTTTTCTTTTGGCCTGCCTAACTTTTAAAAATATATTTTTATTCACTCGTTGTGGAGCAGAAAACAGGCAGCTGTGGAGTGGCTGATGCAACAGGAGTCCAGCCGATGAAAACAAATAACCAAGTTGCTTATATTTAAAAGCAGGAAAACTGAACCAAAGAAAGGAAACAGAGTTCTGTGCAACACATGCGAACGCACCAAATTGCAACTTTGGAACTTTTCCAGAGTTAATTTGTTTACAGTATTCCTGCCCAGAGGCAAATAGATACTGTACTTGCATTTATGTTCTAATAAGAGACATCCTTTTGTCCTTTCAGCTGATTAATCTTAAAGCTTCCACTAAGTGTGCATTCATTAATTTAACGAAGCCATCTTTTGGGTAGGAAGACAGGCAGTGAGCACCCGTGTGTCTATCTCTGTGTGTTCACTTCTTGCACATTTTTAATTACATTATTTCTATTTTAGGATTCTTTTGGTGTCTTTTTTTTTTTACTAGAAGCCACATTGTGGCTTGTCGGATTTCACTGATCCAACCCCTTTAAATTTGGACCTTTAGTGTGATGACTCCAATTCCCATCACTCCTGCTGTGCTGGCCGCAGCGGGTGGGGGCTGATGGGGCTTGTCCAAGACATCTGGAATCCGCTAAGCTGAGAAAGGCTGGAACAGATGTGTCTTGATCCAGCCGCTACAGACGCTAGACGCTAGACTTCCTGTTTTGTTTGAGAAGACGTTTTGGGGGCCGATTTATTGAAGGGATTGATGGCTTCGTTTCTTTTCCTGGAAAAAAAAAAGCAAAACAAAACAACAGAGATGTGTGTTAAAAGCATCCCCATGTAGGGAGATATTTAGATATACACATTAAAGACCCAGCTGTTGTAAAGTGACCCCATGTCACCGGGCGAACAAAACCAGGAGTTAAAATCTGAGCTACTTTTTCACGGAGGTAGAATTTTTTTTCATTTTTTCAACAAAAGGCAGCAGTGGATGTGTTCCTTCTGATCAGGAGGAGATAAAATCCATAAGGGAGGAAGGGTTCCAGATTTTTCCTAAGTACACAGAAAGCTCTCTCTCTCTCTCTCTCTCTCTCACACACACACACACACACACACACACACACCAAATCATCTCTCCCCACCACATACGCACACACTTAAAACACAAACAAAAAAGGACCCCAGAGCTAGAGGATTTTTTTGGCACATAAGTGGTTGCGTAAAGTCTGGTGGGTCATGGGGATTGTGAATCCTTTTTCCAGGTCTTAGGTTTCCAAAAAGAAAAGGGGATTGTATGTTGTGTGTGCCTTGAATATGGCCGTCTCTCTCTCTCAAGGCCAAGAACTAAAACTCTGGTTTTATAGAGGAAGTCTGAGACAGGCCAGTAAATGGGCTCAGATTTGTCCAGAAGAGTGTTTGTTAAAGATTTCCCAGCTCCTGGATTTCTAGGGAACAGATCGGCTTTGGAAACTGTGCTTTAAAAGCAGCTAGTCCTCACTGAGGTGAATCTAGGATGGGTGGAGGATGTCGTGAAAAATTTCACCCGTTCCAAATCTCCAAATTAAAAAAAGTAGTTTTTTATAAAGAGGATTCCCAATTTTGGTTTGGTATTAGTATAATATAGTTAATGGAAATAGCTGTTTTGAATATCGCACTTAATTATGGTGCCATCGCTTTGGATGGGGAGGAAATGCTTAAGGAAACGTGGTTTGATTTAAACCGACCCCCCCCCAAATGCATGTTTGGGACTACAAAGTCTAGCAGCCAAAGACAGCATGACAGGTTTCCAGGAATGATGAGAACTGTCATCAGAAGCATCTAAAGGCCATGGGGGAAGTTGAAAGCAACAGAAAACAGGCTGTCTTTATTTGCTTCCCTTCTAGTTCTGCAGTTCTAAGATGATGATGATGATTATCTTGGAGTAGCTCAGCCAGAGAGTTCTCTGCCCACAGTGAACTTACAATATGCAGTTTAGTAGAGGAGAGGGACACCAGCCGTGGAAATGAAAATTAAGTAGCTTTATTCTGCTTTTTTCTGTTTTCTGGTTTTGAATGGTTTTTTTTGGGGGGGGGAGTTATTGTCTTCCCCCTCTCCAATGCAATTTTTCATTTAAAAAAGAAAAGAAAAACAGACAGCAGGTAATTGAAAATATTCAATGGAGCTTCTTTTTTCATCTTTTTTTTCCTTGGGAAAAAAAATGGATTTTGTTTTTCCTTTTTCCCCCTCTTCTTTTCTGTGTGTGTGGGGGGGTATGCGTGCAAGACAAAAATGTATGTGTGTGTGCTTTTTTGTAACTCTCAAACCCACCCACCCACCCCGAATCCTGTCTCCTCACATACACACAGAGCAGTCGCTGTCTTTTTCCTGCCTCTGTGGAAAAATGTGTGCCACAGACGGGGAAAGCGTGTCCTTTTGTCCGCTCACCTCTGAGGAACATGACAAATATCAATTGTCTGGCTGAACGATAGGAGGGTTTTATTGTCCGTGAAAAAAATAATGAAAAGAGATTTTTCTGCTCTTTCCCCACCCCACTCGTTCACTCTCTGTGCCTGCTTATGTCGTTGGGTTTTTTAAGCCCTGGAAGAAACGATGAAAAAGATACACTTTTTTGAGTGGGGGGGTTGTGGGGAAGGTCTACCTATGTCATCGTGGCAGAAGAGAATTGTTGGCAGGCCTCCCCTTTCAGGATAGGGAACAGCCTTTAGCACATTTTAGTGGAGTCAAAAGACAACTAAGGTTTGGGTTTTTTTTGTAGGGGTGACGTTTTTTGGGGGGGGGAGGACAGGCAATTGAGGTTTATGAAGGTCTGCATAGTATGGAGAAGCGACTCTGTGACTAGATTTTCCCCCGAATGAAACCGTGTAGCACTAGGAGAGATGAAAGCAAGAGTTAGTCTTCATGCAGTGTAGAATTCATCTTTGGAATTCATTGCCACAGCATGCCATGATGGTTTTTGGCTGTGAAGGGAGGAGATGGCATCTGTCAATGCCTGTTTGCTCTTCTGGCACAGGGCATTTTCCATGCCTTGAGCAACTGGCATTCAGAGAAAGGGATCGAGGGCCCCGGCTGGCCACCTTGGTGATTCCTTTTGCCAGGACTTTCCGGACTGTCTCGCTAGTTGCCAACCAGGAGCTCAGAGGGTTTGCTGTGGACGTCCATACAGAGGGTAAAACCTGCAGGGGCAGCATCCGATTAGAGGAGACGTCCACGTTGCCTCCCCTGGCAGAGTCCTGCCATCAGCAGTACACGGAGCACCTGCGTTTTTTTTGTTTGTGGCTGATGATGATTTTTTTTCTCTCTCTTTCTCTCTGCATCCTCCTCCTGCCGGCTGCTGCATGAGATGGACTCCCTTTTTTCTGTACTTCCCTCTCTACCCGTACACTTGTTCACGTCTGCCCTGCGGTTTGCAAATGTGTGTTTGGGGTGGGGGTGTGTGTGGAGGGAGGCCAAACGGTGCTGCGTCTTTTGGGCGATATTCCCCCAATGACTAACGGCATGCTCGTCTGTAGCACGTACAGATCCTTCATAATGCGGCTTGTTTAAGAAACTTCCCTTAATATATTTTGCTCTCCAGAGGAGTCTGCAGCACCTCCTGCAAAGGGATAACATTTTAAAAAAAGTTGTGCATTTGTGGGGCGATGGCCAACATACGCACAGGTTTTTTAATCTCGCTGGCTCTGGGGTCCCTCTGCCCTTTGGATGACCACAGGATCCACCCTCCAGGCCGTGCTCTTCCCTCCCACCACCACCACCCCCTGGCCGAGGGAGGCAGAGAAGGACCAGATGGCATGTCAGTGGACTTGGTTGGAAACCCAGCCCCTTCCCACCGGTCAAGGGCCTGGCCAGAGAGAAGGAGGAGCGGTCTGTTCTGCCCTGTGCTGGCGCGGTGAAGCTTTCTCCTGCCTCTGTTGACTTCCCCAACTATCCTCCCCCTGGCAGCCCCCATGCGCTCCAGTGACATCTGGCCCCCAAAAAGGTAGAGCATGCTTTCAGAAATGGCTCAGCTTGAGGGGAGAACCGATCCAAACTGTCCTCTGAGTTCACACAGCCTCCTTCTCCAGCACTGTGACCTCCTTGCCCAGCTGCTTCCTCTGAAATCTTTGTCTCCGTATTTGTGATTCTTTGGACTCCTTTGTTGGTTTAATCAGCATTTCCTTTAACTATTTTTTTAAAAACATAGAGCCCTGTTTTAGAATAGAGGACGGCAAGATCCAGAGGGGCCCCTTGGGTGAATCCCACTCTTCCATGTGACCCACGCCATTTCACACACACCCCACTCCACCCCCGTCAGGGACCTACAGTCCAATGTTTGCCATAGGATGGGGTGCAGCAGAAGGAACTGACGAGGTGTTCAGTTCAGTTCTACCTGTCTAGACGTCGGTTCAGCCTGGGAGGGAGAATTACAGGTAAACGGATGAAATCTGCCAGAAGTGAGGGTCCAAAGCCCAGTCTGGCAACGATCAATCGTTGAGGGTGGAGAACATTAAGGCTGGCCTCTTCCCGGGGAAGAGTCTAGCTTCCTTCTCTCATGCAACCAACATGACAAAGAACTCTGTGTCACCCAGACGTTGACAGACATGGGCATTGATCAGACGTGTCTTGTTTCCCCTTTTTCAGAAGCAGATTCTCTGGGGATGTAAGGAGGTAGGGAGGCTGGGAATGAACCAAAAGGTCACGATCCCTGCATCAGTGAGAGAGAGAGAGAGAGAGAAAGAAGCCTCGTGGAAATCTTGTCAGAGCTCAGACAGGAACAGACAGAAGCCGTAACTAACCTCGACATCTCTCTCTTCATATTTTTCTCTTCCTTTAGCCCTTTGCTGAGGTTTTCCCACCTCCCTCCTCCAGTTACCCCCAAACTGCTCTCCTTTTTTATGCCTTCCCTCCAGCTTGCCTTCTCTCCCCCTCCCCAAAAAGTCTGTTTTATTCTTCTTTCTTCCACTATTCGAATAACAAAACCCTTCCATGCCGTGATGAGTTTTCCTGATAGACTCCGTCTGGAAAGAGCAAGCCAGGCCGAGAGCAGCTGGGGGCTTGCTGGCTGACTCTCTTCGTCTCTTTTTCCACCTTAATGTAAAGCATGTGGGTTTTTCCACTTACTCAGTTTTCATTCTCTCTCTCTTTCTCCCCGTATGTTTAATTTTAACTCCATTTTGCTCCACCTCTTGATAGTATGTTAATATTCTTGGCTTCCACCAAATATAAGCTCTGAATCTGTATGCACCATACATGTTAGCAGAGGGAAAAATATAAAACAATAATATGTAATCAAGAGCCTCTGCCCATGTAAAGAAAGCGTGTGTCTCTCTCACACAATTTCCACATTCCCCAACACACACATTTTCTGCCAACCCCCTGCCTCATGCACCCCTTTTATCATGTACTTAGGCTGCGATCCTGTTCACATTTGCCTGAGAGTAGACCCTGTTGAATTCATCTGGACTTACATCTAGAATTGTATTGTTAATAATGGACTGGACTGTTCTAGTAGTAACTGTATGATAGAGTCTGGCTTGTTGGCATGCTGTTTATTCACACAATCGTTACTTAAGCGCAGCGGAAAACAGGATCTAGCTGAATTATGAAATTTATTATGCTAGTTGTTGAGGTCAGACTTTAAGACTTCCAGCAAAAAACAGAGGACCAAAGCTAATTAATGAACACCGTTGGAGGGAATTCAATAAAAGAAACAATTAATAAAAAATAATTATATTTCTGTCCCATTAAAAGTCCAATAGGAACGATACTAAAAGTCCTTTTTACCTGCCAAAATCTATGGCAAAATTAAGAGCAATAATGGGTATTAATATTGTATTATAACGCTTTTTTTTAATGGTAGGTAAGAGAGATGAATTTTATATAGCATACAGTGAAAATATAGATTTTTTATTAACTGGTAATATATTATTCTAACTCATTAAAAGAGCTGTATAGATGACGATTTTATATTAGGCTGTTTAAAACCAGTGAAATGAACCATTCTTTTTCAATTAGTTCTTTTATTATCTAATTATACAGTTTGGGTTTGGTCTATGTGTTCGTACGTGCGCTTTTAAAGGCCTTGTAAAAGGTGCTTTTTTAAAAAAATGTATACGTTCTTTCTAATTCGCAACATTATTTTTACAACTCTCCCACGAGTCCTAGAACTCTGCACATGTTTGGGAGCCTATTTCTTCCCTGTGCATGAAATACACCCCACCCCACTTCCAGGCAGAAGTAGTGTTAGACACACCTCCTTACTTGAACATGAATAATGTTTCCCACTCCCATTAAAATAAAAGGCAAAGCCTCCTTTGTCTACGGAGGTCAAATTCCTAGACTGGACCACAGGAAGCCAAGAGGCATCGGGGCAAATTTGCCCAGGCCTGGAAGCACTTCAGGGATGGTCACCTCTTCTGAAGGGCATACCAGGTGGGGCAAGGGCCAGAGGGACATGAAGGAGTGAGGAGGAAAAAAAGATGTTTGGATAAGTGAAATTTTTGGAGTACAGCTTCTCCGAATATTGGAGGAGGAGTTCCCCATGGCACCTCTTACGGGTCAGAGAGGGAACCGTGGCTGGCCGTGTTAGCCTCCGGGCAGACACCGAGGCAGGAGAAACCTTCAGAGCTTCGTGCACCAGATGTGCGCAGTGTTGCCAAAAAGTCCGATCTCTTGGGCTCCATCTCTCGAACCTACAGCTCAGGAGCCAAATCCACCACATTGTCCCGTTTCCCCCTTCCGCTCCCTGTTGGATCCCCTTCCATTCCCATGGACCATCTCAAGCCTCATCTCCGCTTCCTTCCGGTGACTGTTCCACCCCGTCTCCCTCCAACGCCCCTGAACATCCGCAACCCACCAAGATCATCTTCTGGTTTCACTTCAAAACTCTTTCCTCATGGCTTCCCGCGAAAACCCCTCTTGCATGATTCCTGCTTTTAACAGCCCCGGGCGCTCGGGCGGTGTCTGCAGGTCTCTTTAACTCTCTTTTCCTGTGTTTCCGATTGGTTTTCAGGAGTGAGGCAGGAACCGGAAGGGAAAGATGGATCCAAAACGGTTCACTTCACCTTCCTGATCGGCTGCATTTTCGTGGCCTTCGTCTTGGGGGCCTTTCTGTCGGGGCTTTTTGTCTCCTGTTATTGCAACCACAGTTTCCAGAAGGCCAAGCACAGCGGCAAAGACCCCGAGAACAGCGTCCAGCGCCCGCTCTCCCTGCGCAGCCTGGCCAAGATGAACGGCCTGCTGGAGAACCCGGCCAAAGAAGGCCTGATGGAGGCCAACACCACCAAGCTCTACACCACCCTTCTCCCCAACGAGAAGGAGCCGTCCAACGCCACAGCCAAGGCCGGCGTCAAAGAGCACCCTGAACTCTCCGGCTTGCCCACGCCCGAATCGACGCCGGAGCTCCCTTTGAAGAACATGAAAGCCATCCGGAACCAGTGGGAGAAAAACCAGAACTTCAATAACGCGAAGGAGTCGCAGGGCAGAGGCGCCTTGTTCCACACCCCGGTCCCCAACGCCCACGCGTTCCCCTTCCCTGGCGCCATGGCCGTTCCTGGCCACCTGCATGGCTACGACGCCCCCTTGGCCGGCTACCTGGACGAGAAAAAGATCCCGAACTCGGAGCGGGTCGTGGTGCGCCATTCCCAGTGCTACCTGCCCAAAGGGGTGGAGGTGACGACGCTGGAGGAACTGCTGAAACACCTCCACGAGACCAGCAGCTCCCCCAAAGTCCTGGGCGGCCTCCCTGTCCACTTCCCGCCCGGGAGTCAGGCTTCGGCCATGTCCTTCGCCAACCGCGTGCAACCCAAGATCCCCGATGTCGAGAGCGCCCCCTATTACAGCTCCTCTACGTTGCCACGAGACAGCCTGCCCCGGAGGCTGGATGTCCCTCCTGATCCGCCGCCACCGTCGTCCTGCCTGGAGAAGCCCAGCAGGCACCACCCTGTTCACAGACACTCGCTCTGCACAGCGCCAAAGCTAGTGAACGTTGGGGGCGGCGGGGCCACCGGCAGCGGGGCCCTGCTGTCTCGGCACCACAGCCTCAGCCAGGCGGGGAGGCCGCCGCCGTCCCTCCTCACCCGCATGCACTCTACGGGGACCTCAGTACCCCAGGAGGGACACCATGCCATCTTTCTCTCCAGGCAGCACAGTTACGGCGACCAGGTTTCGCTCCCCACCCACGGCGGGATGAAGCGGTCGGTCTCCCTCATTAAGCCCGGCACACCTTCCCAGCCTCTCTTCATGCCTTCGTCTCCTCCAGCCCAGTCGTCGGGGCAGTTTAATTATTGAGCCAACTGGGGGGGGGTCAAGGGGTCTTGTTTATGACTCGGACCTGGTGCTGCAGAGTTCCCAGGGCCTGCCGTCTCACCACCTGGGCTGCTGTTCCAAAATGGAAGGCAGGTGGAGGGGGAAGCGCTCTCCCCGCAACCCTGGGGGGGGCAGAAATCCCAGCGTGCCTTGCAAGAGGGAGGGGCATGCAGAGACCGAGAAACGGTGGGAGGGGCATCCTGGACTGGCTGCCTCATCCCATTGGCTGCCTTCTGCTCTGTTAGGCGGCTTCCGTGGCCTATCCGGACATCCTGAGGGACCCCCTGAGCATCTTGCCAAAGTATGGGAACACCACCCCCTTTTTTCCTCTCTCATTGTTCAGGAAGGGAGTGTTTCGGCAAGATTCTGCCCACATCCAGTGCGCACAATTTAATTATGCAAACAAGGTTTCCCTCATCTATCAAAATGAATCATCTCTCCATCCCCCCACACACCTTTTTCATATTTTTCTTCTTCCAGACATTGAAAATTTAGCTTTGAGCAGGTTCAGTTCTCACAAAGCTAGATGGGTAAAGAAACAAAAGCCAGGCAGATGTTGGCCCTGAAATGTTTTGGGCTGTATCTTGGTCATCATGAGGACTAGAAACATGTCCCTTTTGAAAACTGGGGTTTAGAATATCAGATGTCTGTGCACCTTTTGGGCAATAAGGAAATGAGTAAGTTTAATATCTCAGAGGGATCAATCAGGTCCTGCTCTTGGGATTGGGCTTTCTGGGGTCCTTGAGCTTAGTTTTCCATCTCGGTTTGGTTTTATTCATTTCTTACTGATGATGCCTTCTTCCGAAAGCCACAGCATTTTAAAGCAGGCCTGGGAAAGCATGGCAGGTTTTTATATCAGCCTCTCAAAGTGAGGACTCTTGTCATGGCCTCCTTGGACATGAGCCACGAGCGTCTGCCTGTCCGGCATCTTTCATTTGGTTCAAAATCTGCTTTGAAACCCAGGAGGCAGCCTCCCAGACCACAAATGTAGCACTTCCACACACACCCCAGGCCCTCCCTCAAGACCCGAAGGTGAGTGTCCTTACGTTGGGCATCCCTCGTGGAAATGTGAAGCAGACCGAAAAACCTGAGCCCTCCCGCTTTGGGACTCGATGTTCGCCGGATCCGTTCGCGGGAGTCAGCGGCCGCTTTCAGCAATCGCAGCCCTCGTCATCACCTGCAATCTGATTTTGGCGCTGGACCCTAGACAGGGGACGATGTCATGGGTCCTCGCCCACCTCGTGCCGTTCTGGATTAACTCTTGAACAAGAATATTTGTGGTGCCTGCGTCGCACGGATCCAACTTCCTTCAGGAGAGGAGAATGTAACACTGGTAACTCTCTTTAACTACCCGCCAAAAATGAAAGCAGGGCCCTTCTCCTTCAACCCGGATTCTGTCCTTCCCACCATGTTGAAAAGAGGCACTGAAGAAGCTCCCTCTCCTGGGGTGGGGGTGGGGGGCCGCGTCGGGAGGGTTTAGTTGGTGCACCGCTGCCTTACATGGAGCAGTCCCAAATCTGCCCTTCTGTCAGCCACGCTCAAGCTATTCCTCTCCTGCTTGGCGTTTCTCTTCCCAACCTATTCGATGGCCAAGAAGAGGCAGCAGAGATTTGTCAGCTTAAGACACACAGACCTCCCTGTATTCCTTCAATTCCTTAATTGCAAATCAAGTCCACCCAAGTTTCTGATCCACAAAAAAATCGAGTGGGCTTGTTTCCCAAAGTTTTTGTCCCAGCTGTACTTGGTCACTGGCAGCAAGGAACAAAGAGTGATTTTTTAAAATGCAAGAAGTAACTTGTTACCCGTTTACAGGCATTATCCTATCCAGCTTGGTCATCCCATTGTTTCTAACTCACCAGAGGCAAGCAAGGGCATGGGTTTTGAGAAAGGAAGCCCCACATTTTTCTTAGGGGAATTCTTTTATGGGTTAGAAGGGCTCCCCCTTCTAACCTTAAAAGAATTCCCCTAAGAAATCTTTTCTAATACACAAAAGTTTGGCTCCGTTTATGTGAGTCTGTAAATTTGCTGGACAAATCCTTCCTGGACTTGATCGGAAGCCGGGCAAGGTGGAAATTTCTCTGAAGACTTCCATGAACCGTGGCTTGTTGGGCTAGCCCTTGTTTGTCCTTCTTCAAATGCAAAACTGAAGTTGTTGTTTTTCTTGTTTTGTTTTAGGAGGGCAGGGGAAATTGAGAGTTTGACCAGCACTGCAAAAACCCATCCTGATTTTTTAAATCGCACATGCGGGGTGGTGGTGACAGAGTTCATGTTATCCTCCTCGGACCACCTTTTAAAAATCATGTACATAAGTATAGATATTTGTGTATATTTCATTATTTAACTTCATATAAGAGAAGTAAAAAAAAAGAATAAAAATATGTGAAGAAATTAATCCTACTGTGTAGGAAATTGGCAAGCCAGTGCATGCTTTGGTAGCACTGAGGAGCTGTAAATTTGGTACCTCCAAGGACCATCTGAGCTGATGATGCTTGAAAAAAATATAATCTCTTTGTGTCTTGAAAAACTGTGCATTTCTTTCTGTATTAATTTCTTTTCTTTATTTCTGGAGGATTGGGGATGTTTACTATGAATGAAGAAATGTGAGTAAATAAGGCAAACTTTGTTTATGAGTGTAGTGAAATAGTAACAAATTCTGTTTAGTCCTGCTTCCAAGAGGGATCAGTCAGAGGTCTATAAAGAGAACTGACTTGAACAGCGTCAACCCCACCCAACAGGTTTTTCCAGTTGACTGCTCCTGAACACAGAGGTTCTATTTATTTGCCAAGATTAAGAGCTATCACCAAACTGCTTCCTTTTCTATGCAGTTTTCTAATCCTTACAAAAATCCATCTAAAAGGGGTGACCATCATCCCAAATTGTGCCGGGCAGTTCCACAAGCTAATTATCATTGCTCATTGTACAGAAAAGCACTTTCTTCCCCCCCCCTCTCTTTTTTATTTTATTTTGAGGGGTGTGATCATCCCAAATCTCCTGCTTATCTGTTTCGTACGATGACCTCAGTTGTAAGGCTTCCATAAGAGAGGGAGCAAAACTTTCCTATTTGCATTATTTTATTTTTTAAAAAGAATTTCCACTGAGTGGGTTTTAGTCCACAAAATACCAAATAAATCTGTGAGTCCTGAAGTGCCACCAGAAGAAGAGAAAGCAACAGCAGAAAGTCTGGAGAGCGGCAATCCCCCATCCACCGGGGAGGGGCAGGGGATGCCATCCTTGGGGGGGGGGGACCCCACACATCATCATCATCATCATCATCATCATAATGAGAGCAGGGGCACCAGGAGAATATCTGGAGGACCATATTTTGCTGGTGTATTCAAAAGATTCTTCCTTGTTTGTTTTGCTTTATGGGCCAGAAATACAGACCCTGTTGTCGGTGGAAGAGTTTTTAGGACAGATTGTGCATTTCCAGAGGGCGAAACAGAAGTTACATTAAAGAGAAGGATGAACTGAACATGTCCTGGATGCCATCCCTCCAGCCAGGAACAAGAGCCGCCGGGGGGGGGGGCGAAAGAGGGGCAAAGCAGCAGGACAAGGGTTTGCTCTCCCCACCCACCCCCACTCCTCCGGCCCTAGTTTTCACAAGGAAAAGCCGACAGACAAGGCACGAGGACTCCCCCCCCCTGTGGGCACCAACTGGGACTTGCCCTTTCCCCGGGGGGGGGGTTGGGGGGATGAAAACTGTGCAAGGAAGGAGGTTCAGCTCCCCATGCTGTCAAAACCTCACAGTCCCAATTCTGCTCCATCACCACCTGCTCCAGTCATTAAGGCGGCGGGAGAGGGAGGGAGGTGCATTAACTGGACTCCCAGGATTGTCATGTCTGGTTTCCTCTCAGCTCCAGTTTTGATGCTGTTCCTGACCAAGAGTTGGCCTTTCTCCCCTCCCCCTTCTCAGAATCTCTCCCCCCCCAGCTTCTTTGGGGACTATGGGAACTGTAGTCCAAAGACCTAATGCCTTCCGTACTCCAGTGCCCATTGGCTTGATGATCCACGCGCTGAGCCTTTGTTTCCGAATCTCAGCCTTAAAAGCACAGCCAGGGACTGAAACGCTTTCGCTTTGCCTCTCCTCTCCACCACCCCAGACACCTGGGTGTGTGTGGTGTGTGTGTGTGTGTGTGACACCACCCCAGACACCTGTGTGTGTGGTGTGTGTGTGTGTCACTATGACCTCCCCCAACTTTCTTTCCTTCTCGGTCCATGTTGACAGTGAGGAGAATTGATGATTAAACCAGAGAATCCTTCAGAGGCCTTGAGCTCTTCCCGTTTCTGGCTGACAAATGGCTTCCCGGCTGCCAGCCTCTGGTTCTCCCGGGTGGACCGACAGGTCAGCCAGTCTCAGCAACCCATCAAGGAAACACCTGACGTTGGCCACTGAAAGCTCGTTGAAGTAGTTATTTCCTCTGAAAAAGTGTTTTGTGGTCCACAGCAGCTTTGGAACCAACTTCGTTTTCTGAACAGTCTCCAAGGGCTAGTCCTTGTATACCATGCTTGGCAGTAGTCTGCCCCTGAGAAGTATGATGGCTGCAGCCATTATTGCAGATGAGGAGATGATGAGGACCTAGCGAGTTGGTGAAAGGAACAAAGAGATGTGGGCAGTCCAGGAGCAGGATTTCTCAAGAGCCGGGGTGTCCTCATGAGGTCCCCCTCTCCCGAAACCGAAGTGTGGCCTTCAGTGCCAACGCTCACCCCCTTCCTAATGACGTTCTTCTTGATGCCTTGCCGGCATCGTTTTCTCCCCTGGCGGGTTCTGGGTGAGCTGCCAATCCCATTAGACGCTGATACACCACGCTTGGCTGGGGATGATCCCCCAGAGATTTTTCCTTGGAAGTAACTTTAAAGAGCAGCAGCAATTTTAAAAAAATTATATATTTTGGAGGATGAAGGAGAAAGAGAGAGAGAAAGCTCTTTTAGCCAAGCAACTGTGTATGTCTGTGTCTATAAGAGAAACGAACACGTAATTTCCTAAACTGCTCAGAGGATAGAGCAGAAAATTACCCGGCAGGGATTTTCTTTGCTCACTGATTTCCTTGCGGTAGGGACTGTTAAAATGCTTATTTCCTCTTCCTTCCCATCGTACGTTTCTCTCGATGATTCAATCTCCTTTCGTTCCAGGGCAAGTAGCTTTTTCAATTAATTTCCAGAGGCGTGAGAAAAGGGAAGCAACCCGCGTCAGGCCTTGTCGGTGACCAACTCTCATCCTCCTCTTATTTATTTTATTGATTGCAATGGAGTTGGCTTTCTGTTCTCTTCCCTGGGGTGACTGGCGGGATCAAGGCTTTCTCCAAACTCAAGCTAATAAGTCCTTGCTTAGATCATGTGCTGGCGTGACAGAGAGAGGACGAGAAAACCACAGCTGTCTTGTTGGCAGAACAGAAATTTATGAATGGCACACAGCTGCTTGCCAATCAGTACTATTCTCTTTAGCTTGGCCCTCTTGATGCTACCCTAATTCCCCAGGGTATGCAGCGGCACCCCAAACTCACGCTTATTCTGAGTTGCTTCTTTGTCATGCCAAAAATCACAGCCATCCGGTATAGCTCGGACATGTAGCAAATTTGGGTCTGGTTCTTTGCTGCCCCTGAATTATTGCCACCTGAGGTGTCCCAGGCCTAGCCCCCCCCCCATGTAGGTCATGGATGTGAACAGCCCAAATGGGTCCGTCCCCCACTTTCTCTCTCTGCCCTCCCTCCCCACAGTGCCTCTCTGGCTCATAAATAATCGGAGAGGCACGGCTCCCTTTAAAAGTTTTTTAAAAGCACCCTGAGGGAGATTTAAGTGTTCGGCTCACGGAAAGCTGTCTCAGAAAGCTGTCTCGGCATCTGAAAAGAGGTGCACTTCAAATGAGGGGGTTTTTACAAAGCGAAAGAGAAGGGCTTGGAAAGGGAGGGAGGGAGAGGGAGACCCCCAAGGAGAGTCGGCCAGAACACCCGAGGAAAAAGAGAGAGAGAAATAGGGAAGCAGAAAAGGCTCTCCAAACGTGGCAGGGTGGTTGGCTGCCGTGGGGTCTCCATCCACCCTGAAGGACCTCTGGTGGAAGGGAGTTGGGACGAAAGACACGCCAGCTGGCCCTGTGCAAATCCCGCCCAGGTTCAAGGCCCTTATTTTGCCCCCACTCCCAATCGGCTGCCGGAGTCCTCATGGTGCCCGACGGGAGGGCCGACTCTGCCCTCCACCTCCTGCAGACAGAGGTGGGGTCGTGCTCGCCGGAAGGGGGCCGGTTTCACGAACAGCCACTTGGAGGGGAGAAGAAGTAGCTACGGAAATCTGTGCCTTGAGTGTGCAAAATGGAGGCCTTAAGCTAAGCAGGGAGGAGATAAGCCCCCAGGAAGTGTTTCTTGATGGATAAAGGTCGCTTTTTGGGGTGGCACATTCCAGCTTTCAGTCGGCTGGCATTGGAAGGGATGTGGCAGGCCTGTCACTACACCAAAGGACAGCCTGCCTGCACCCTCCGATCCCTCCCTCCCGGAGTTTCCCGGGCTCATAAATAATCTGAAGCCTCCTGCTTTCCATCTTTCGTTAATATTTCAAGGCAATTTTTGTTTTGTTTTGAGCAGGGTGCATGATTTTAAACTGCTTGTCACTTCAGCCGTAATCTCTCTCTCTGTGTGTGTGTGTTTATCTCTGAGTCACAGCCAGTGTAACAACCAAGAGTGGAGAAAAAGCCCCTCTAGGAAAGCACGTTGCTGAAAGAATCATGAGGACTAGTGACCTAGTGCCCAAATTGGCAAAAAGCGCAGATGGGCCCCTCCTCTCCCCCTAACAGGTTTGAAGGATTCTTAGCCAAGCTGGAGCTCCTGAACGTCTCTCTTTAGGGATGACCCGGCCTTGGAAGGGTGTTGTGTTATTGGCTGCAGCCTTCCACGAGTCTTTTGTGGAAGCCCCTGTGGCGCCAATCATTTTGTGGAGTAATGCTGACAAAAGATAACTTTCACGACTCTCCGCTTTCTGGGTCTTTCCAAACCAGGGGTTGTCAGGAATCTCCTTGGACCAGAGCCAGGCTTTCTGGGAGCCAAAGGGTCCCACTTCCTCGTGGTGGCCGCGTTCCCTTCAGCTATGACACACACACACACACCAGTTTCGTGTCTCCCAAGCTGTTTTTGCTCTTTCCTCCTCCTTTTAAGAGGCTAAACGGCACTTCCAAGCCTCTGTTAATAGTGGCGAAGGCTTGATGTGGTTTTCTCTGTGGACCCCCACCGCCACCGGATCACCGCACCCCCCGAAAGGGCTTTTCGGACCCGACCCTCCTGCTGAGACCCCTTCCCCAACTTTGCTTTCATGGCTTGGGGCCACAAGAGGGGTTGACTCACTGTGGAAACCCATACCCGTCTGCTCCTCATCTCTTTGAGGAATTCAGCCTTAAAGAGGACAGCTGGATGGATCTTCCAGCATTGGTTGCAGTCTACCTCTGTTGACCAGTTGCTATGGTCCCACGCCAGGAGAAGGCCATCCTTGGCTGTGATGTGGGGGCTCTTTTGGAAACGTGGCTGCTGTCCCCTGCCGGCAACAGGGCGATAAGATGGGCCAACACTTTTCCTGGACCCAACCAGAGCAGTTCTTCACTTTCCTAATGGTCGGGAAGCGACACGTCGGAAAAGAGGTGGTTTATCCCCTCTGTTCATGGAGGGATGCCTGCCAGGGCCTTTCGCCCTGGGGAAATCTGCAGCCTCAGGTTTCAGACGCGGATCTCTCTCTTTTTTTGGCCGGGAGGAGGGAGTCTATTCAGATCCTGGGAGTCTCTCCCTTTTCCCTTCTGCCTCGGTTTTGTGGGTGAGAATTTTGGCTTCCCTTTCCTTTCTTTCTCTCCTGCTGCAGCTGCTGCCCGGAAACCGCCAGCTGGGCAGCGCTTCGAAAGGCGGCTGGTGGGGAGCCTCCGCACCCGGCCATTCATCTCTGGCAGCCGGAGGAAGGAACCGGGGCCAAAAAAAATTAAAATAAAAGCCCCCACCGGTCCCAAGCAGAACAATGGCTCCCTCCCCGGAACAATGCCCCAGGCCCCTCCTCCATGAATCCACGGGCAGAAGCGTCTCCGTCCGAGGGGGAAGGGGAAGGGGATGGGAGAGGAGTGCCAGGTTGGTGGCGATGGTGGCTTCTGGCCAAAAAAAAAAAAAGGTCCAGAAGTATTTCTGCTGGGGGGGGGGATGATCCCCCTCTTAGGTCAGCCAGCACCCGGTTTCTGGCAGGGAACGGCCTGGAACCCTCTCATCTGTCCCCAATATCTGGTGTTCAAAGATACACTGCTCCTGTAGGTGGATGCTTGCTTTAGCTGCCCTGGGGCATAGCTGGTGCTTGGCTCTTACAAAAAAGCTGAGCTGGATCTGGACAAGGTGGGTCCCACCCAGTGCCGCTTTGCTGTTCCAATAGAGGTTATCCAGAGAGAGGCGATGGCATAAATAGGTCCGGAAAGGCCAACCGCTGTGTGCCCCTGGGCAAATGATGCTGAAAGGTAGACTGTGGCTGGAGAGGGAGGCTCTATTCTATGAGCTTGGCTTTGTTTAGCTTCGTATTCTGCGCTTCCTAACAGGGAACCACAGCCGTTAAGCATTCTCCATTAAATCTGTCCATGCTCAGAGGCACTTAGGCTGGGGGACTGTGGATGCTGTATAATCAGCCAGGGCAAAGGCTGGTTCCTCCAGGCTCTCACCGGCTTCCAGCTTCCAGCAGGCCTAGACACCAGGGTGAATTGTCAAGGATGATGGGTGTTGTAGTCCATCAGAAGGGCTACAACCTTTAGGATGGGACAACTCTTTTCCCCCCCAGCTCTTTGCCTTGTGTGTTTTTTTATCACCACCTTGTGGTGAATCTGGGGTAGCACACCTTGTAGGCCCTATAGTAGCCTTTTCATGCTCCCCTGGAATATCTGGGGCATCAGAGAGCAATCGGCACTTTGGTGTCTCCCAGTGATGATGATGATGATGATGACCGATGGCTTAACTGAAGGATTGATTGTATTGATAGGTCAGCGGTTCTCCCAGAATCGGGACTCAACGGCAGCTTTACGAAGCAGTTTAAAAAAAGGAAAGAAAATTAAACACAATTGAGTTACAAAGGACAAAAAGAATTACCGATAAGGCTACATTGGTGATGCTATTCAAATGGAAACACTCGGACAAGAAAACAAAATGTGGCCATCCTTGAATCGAAATAACTCGCAAAAGAAGTACAAAATCTCACACTTTTAATGACGTTGTGTAACCACTGGCACATCAATGCCTATCTGTAGACGCGCTTTCTACCAACACCCATCAAGAGCTATTACTCATCTGCAAGCCATGAATGTCATTGTTGGAACCCCTGGTAGGATCACAAATGGGGAGAAGTTACTTTTTTTGGACTACGGCTCCCAGAAGTCTGCAGCTGTCATCACCATGCAGTGATCATGCAGCCTGTGTAATTCTGGGAGTTGGGGTCTAAAAATCCATGAATTTTCCCTCGTGGAGGGAGAGTAGCCGAACGAGAGGGAGAGACACATGAAGAAATACAATTAACTTTTGAGAGAGAATGTTAATCTGTTCAAAAATCCCGTTGGGGTACGGGGAATGTTGGCCTCTCTCTGCCTGTCGCTGGTCCAAAATGCGAAGGAGTTTGCTCCGGCATCTCTATAGCAACCGGTTGTCACCGGCAACGGCTTTGAAGCATCTCTCTTTTTCTGGCAGGACTGGTGGGTGGGCAAGGAAAGACAGAGGGAAAGAGAGGAGGCAGGAGAGAAAAACCATCCATAGCCTCCTGGAATTCCTTCTCCTAAGCTTGGAGGGGAAAGGGTTTGCCTTGCTTATTTGGAAACCGGTTCCCTCAGGCCATCACCACTTTCTCCACATCCGAGCTCAGCCTCGGTATGCCGCTGGTCCTCAGTGAGGCACAAGAAAGAAGCTTGACGCAAGCAATCTCTGTGGGCAAAATCCATCCACCAGGCCGTTTACAGATCCAGCCGAAGACTGGTTCTCCAGGCCGCGGGTGGTATCAAATGAAGAGGAACCTCCACAGGTTTCTTCAGGAATCGGAGAACCTTCTGTACAGGTAAGGGGTCCCTTTCGTCTCCATGGCATGTAAAAAAAAACCCAGGTGGGTGGCTCAGGTGGGTCTGACTAGGGTCGGGAATAGGAGGAACACACAGGCATACATTTACCGCCATCTCCATCAGGGAGAGTCTGAGAATATAAAACCAACCAACCCAAAAATTGAACAAACAAAGATTCCTGCTTGTTATGTTCCATATTTTTTGCAGGAGTCTTTCTTTCTGTTATTCCTTTATTTTTTGCAGATAAAACAGACGGAGGGTGGACCTATGGCCAGGTCTGGTTCGAGAAGGTGGTCAAGGTGTGGAGAGAACCATGCTTTTGTGTTGGTATTTTCTTTAAAGCCTTATTTTTTCCCCTCCCCTTACTCCTACCAGTCTCTTGGGCCTGGCTGGCTTTGCTCTCTTAACATAACCCACCTCATAAGGTCGTTGCATCTGGAGGGTAAAAAGGGGGCCACAGATCCCAGTGGGAACTCCTTTGAGAAGTGGCATATAAAGCAAATCAATGGATGAATAAGAAGAGGTGTGTCTTTCTTAGACTACAATTCCCAGAAGTCTGTCTTCTCAAGAGACTTCTGGAATTGTACTCCTGAAAACATAAACCTGCACAACTCTAGTGTATCATCTTCACCTTGTTTTTGCATGATGATAAGCCAGAATTTTGGAGGATTTTGACGTTCTGTGAACAAGCTGTCACTTGATTCTTCTCACCCTCAGAGGCAGCAAAAACAACCGGGAACTAAACGTTCCTGATCGGTTCAGTTCCTCTTATGAGCCTAGAGTGGCAGAGAAAGTTCAAACCTGTTTTGCAATTCTGGAGTGAAATTTCCATTCCTAGCTCATTCATTTACTTACTTCCCATCAGCAGTAGGAGTTGAAATGAGGAATTTACCTGTGCATATTTAGGGGAAAAACCCAGCCACTATTACTCAGAGATAGAGTGCCACTGAATGGGGAGGTTCTATGTAGCGGTTCCATCCTGTCGGTTATCCTGGTTCTTTCCTCCAGCAGTGGCATGCCGTGTTTCCAGGATCAATGTCATGAATCATGGCTGGCTGCAATGGGTCGATTTTTATCAGCTTTAGAAACAAGAGTGGTTTTAATGTTTTTTGCTTTTTTTGCAGCCTGTTGTTTTGTTTTTCCTGGGCAGGCGGGGGGGGCAAGAGCAAGACCCAGTTAATGCTGCTGAAACACGAAACTCATTTGGGGCTTGTCACGGTTTGAGCAGCATTGAGGAAAGACAAATGAGAAGCAGCAAGGAGCCAAGTTAAGACTTGGCAGAGTTAAACGGAAGGCTTTTAATGTTTTTATGGAGAAGCAACCGGGGTCCGCTCGGCTCCCAGCATCCCACCCCAGGCTCAGGCGAGTGCTTTTCAGCTCGCTTAGCTGAGAAAACGGCTCAGAGCGTTCCCAATGACAGAATCTCTTCTCCAGTAAAGAATCCATGGCAGAGTGGGACCTACGAGTCATTTCCCCATCAGAAAATTCCCGTTTTGAGTGAGGAGGCTCCGAAAGGCATTGACGGGGAAACTTTTCCAAACTCTGCTTCAAAAAGTGTTATGATTATCCTACATGATTCTTCAGACTCTAGACACCCTCCCTCCAAATAAGCAGCATCTTCTCTAGCGTGTCTAGCCACCCACCGATGCCTGATTCCCCCCCCCGGAAACTGCCCTGGGTACAATTTGTGACGGGAAAAAAAGGGGGGGGGCATAACAACAATAATTTGGGAGATTGCTCAGTCATAGGGTTGCTTTAAGTCAGAGGTGACTTGACAGCACGTAACAACATCATAATACATTCAGACTGAGAAATAATAGTGACAATAATAAATACTAGCAGCAGAAGCTTAGTGCAGAGTTGAGATGGGCACAGATTAGCGAGAAGGCTTTTCCAATTCTTGAGAAGCCCTTCGGTCAAACTTGCGCACCTTCATTAGGGTACTTGTAGGGTGTGTGGGTGTGCCAGGTATGGGATTTCACAGCTTGCCCAGACAATCTTGAGAAGTCCTGCTGTCTTTCACTGGCCACCTTTTGAACTCAATCTTGGGGGTGCTTGTTGAGGTCGATATTCGAAGCATTCGTGTTGTGGGGTATGTTTTCTTAAAGCCTCTCCTGCTTCCCTGCCATGATAACAAAAAAATGGGCTAACCCTTCAGTTTCAGGGGTTTTTTTTGTTTTTTGTTTTTTGAAGAAAAGGAAATTGTTTTGGTGGGGGAATTCTCTCAGACCTCTCCTGGAGGACTCCTGGGGGTGTGGATGAAGCTGGGGAAAAGAGTCACTGGCTCATGTTTGTGGCTAAGGAGGGGTGTCCTTTCATTGGTTTAATTTAGTTTAATTGTTCCTCATTCCAGGTGCCTACTAAACTAAACTAGCAGGTTGCCTCTGGCCTTGCGACCGAGGATGGCCAGCGGTCTCGGCAGCACTTTGCCCCCTCTGGCCAGCGCCGTCCGGCCGGACCTGGCTTTCACATTGGAGCAGAAAGCGGCCTTCCTCTTTGTCTTCTTCCTCTTCGTTTTCCTGGGTCTGCTGATTGTCCGCTGCTTCCGGATCCTTCTCGACCCTTACCGTAGCATGCCTTCTTCGACATGGACCGATTACATGGAGAAAGACGCCTTTGATTACAGGGTGCCTTGATAGCGGCTCGTTTCTTGGCATCTACCGATGGCCAATCCAAAACCAGGAACCCGCTGCCTTTGTCCCGGGACCTGTGATCCTTACAGAAAGCCTCCTTGGGCAGGAGGAGTCTATCCCTGAATAGCACAAAGGAAGGCACTGCCCTAGGTGGACCTTGTGTTAGATCCTACAAGGTGGCTCTTTTAAGTCTTCCACCTCACTATGTTTACCCTTGCTGTATTTGGATCCAGAAAATGCCTCTCAGAACAGCAACCCGAGGTGGCACTTAGGAGTTTTTTGAATGAGGACGAAGCCACGGGTGAAACGAAGGCCCCTGCCATTTTTTCCTGTTGATTTGGGACCGATGAAAGATAAGAACATGGTGCAGAATCAGCATGTGGAAGTACCTGCCTCAAGAAGGGGGCGATCCACATTGATTTGGTGGCTGTTGAACACTGGTAGATAAGAGGGATTTTAACGAGCTGGGGCAAACGACCTGGATTTTGAGGAGAAGCCCAGCTTTTTCAGCAGATTTATGAGCCATCTTAGCAGCCATTTTCAGGACCCGAAATGGGGGATGAGAATCAAGGGCAAGTCCCTTTTTAACCTTTTTTATGACAGAGAGGTGAAATTGGGTCATGTGCAAAAGTAAGGTGATCTCTCCACAGCTGTTAAGAAGGTGAATGTGCTCCCCCCCCCCCCCC